TAAACTGTACCTTTAATATATTTATATTTATACTGATACTTATAGTAACATCTGCACTTATTTTCGTATTGATATTTGCCCTCGAGCTTTCATTTATATTAATGCTCACGTTCACACTTATACGAACCTATACTCACCGTTCTATTTATATTTATATTTGAACTTATACTTATTATATGGGTACCTAATAAGAATCGAGCCCATTAAGGAATTGAGACAGAGTTTTTCAAACTGGTCAGGAAGCTAATGAAGTCTAAATGGATATTGTTGGCTAGGTATTCAAGTGCAACCAACTAACCCATCCGAGAAGGAAATCGAACAGTTTTCTGCCTAGGTCCATTTTTATGGAGAAAAACTAACCTAGTCGTGTAGACGAATTTTTTAAGCACGACACGAGGGTCACTCCATTTGGCCGATCCATAAACAGACAGACTGTGATGGAGTAGAGCGCTCTTCGGAGCAGCCGAAAAGGATCTTCAAAAACCTTCCAACAAAAGGGAGCCGACATCTCAATCCAGCGATGGATCCTATTTTAGAAACTCCACTCTCTGAACAAAAAGTGTTGAGGTGGCCTTATTACTACATATTTATGGGCTTCTGTTTGGATCTTAGCGGCTTACGTATCTACTTTATGAAACCATCCTCGGCAGCATCTGATGTTTCTTGGACAACATTTTCGATTGATGGAAGAAACCTGCTTGATCAGTACCAGGAACAAAACTACTGTCCGGTTACGGCCTATCATCAACTACTGGTAGGCTTCTTAGGCAAGTGTAGGAAGACGATACAGAAGTCCCAGCTTACATAGGAGTACAAAGTCTTTTTTGAATGGAATTTCACATTTGAAATGACCCAACTTTATCGAGGAACTGTTCAAGCGATATTTTTAGAATAAGGTTTTAAAATCGCCACTCACCGTGCTCAAGTTGGAAAAGATTCGAAGCCTCTGTACTTCTTTTACACAGTGGTACCTGCCTGCCACGAGCCGATCCCACTGATCGAACCGTTTCCGACCACGTTATAACCGAATTTTCTCGTACGGTTTTCTATTACATATAAAGAACAACACCAGTACACAAATACTACAATACAGTAGTATAATCATAAGAACAAAACAATAGAAGACAACAGAAAACAAGAACATAACAAAATATTGAGAAAATGCTGATAAGATACAAAAGGATCACGAAGGATGTCAAAATGAACTGTACCGTTCTTCAGAACGACATTATCTGCAGCAGTAGTTTCTTTTTACTACAGTATCCTACAATATGATAGACCATTTCTAAAAAATTCTTACAGAAACGAGTCCTTTCATTTCTGTTTCAGCCATAGATCCCAAACAAATTAACAATCCGACCGAATAAGCGACAGATCAACAAATCAAGTAGTCGCTACACAAAAAAAAAACTTATTCATTCGTAACATATTTCGCTACATATTTATTAATTTATTTCGTGTTCTGCTCAAGTGATACGTTTGTCCATTCAGAACTTTCCAGTCCTGACGGAGAAACTGATAGCGAGGACTCACCTGAGGCATGTTCGGATCGTGGAACACATGTTATCAACCACGCTGTCAATCCAAACTGCAGTCGACACGTTGTTTTCTTTTCCCTTTTTACGTATGTATTCGAGTAAACAGCGAATAAATAAACAAATAAACAAGTGACTGAAAGAGTGGTCAACAAATAAATAGAATTAGAGATAAATATTACAGTTTTGAAATGTCTACGTTATATTCCGAATAAAATAGAACCGATGGTGTGGTATAGACCTGGGTTTCTTCGAACAGCCTTAAAAAGAGTGGGAGATGTAGAGAAGAGAGATTAGACGAGTATTGACTTACTTGGTTGTTCATCATAGTATCATCAGCTATTACCAATTACATTTCATTACCAAATAGTGAAAAAATGAATGGAACTAATGGAAAATAAAAAAAAGGATGCTGAGAGTGGGATAGGCGGCCGCCTAATGACTCTCTACAGGGAGAAATGGGAAGAACCCCACCTTTAAGAGATCAAAACCTAATCGATAAAAAGGTTCGGGTTTCCAAACAATTTTGACCTGGACGGGTTCTGCCTCATTGAAACCATGTAGTTTGTTTCAGGAACAGGCTATAGTCTGTACGTTTAAAAGGCTCTCCGAATGCGATTTTTCTTCAGATTTGATAGTTGATAGTTCAGAAAAAGAGCCAAAAGCGCCCAACTCACTTAGCCGCCGCGGTGGCCATCGTAAAAACGATGTGTCAATAGGATTTTCAATCGATTCATTATCGGATATTGATCGTTTCCAGTTGAACCATGGGAAAAAGATGTACTAGAATGGATTGGCAGGACAGCAGTGCAATCAATGCCTCTCTACAGCGTGATTTTATCAACCATTATCACTGTTTATCATTGCAGTGACTTATATTATCATGAAGTATCATCTTGCTACATGAACCCATTGCTGTTATCAGAACTTATGGGATATACATGTGTATCGTAAAAGGACTCGAACCATCTTCTACCTTTCAACAGAAACAAGCAAGGACGAGAACTTTAAAATTGGTGCTTTACGGTGCTCCGAGCATATTCCATTCTTTGTATCACCGGTACTTACATCTTTCTGAACATTCAATATCGCAATATTAAATCAATTATAGCCAGCTATGAGGCTAAAGGACACTTTAGTCATAAAATATTCGAAGTGGCTGTCTTTGATCAGTGCCGATGGATGGGCCATGTTTTCGAATTTTGGTCAAGTCGAGCAGTCACCTTCACTCCGGAACTGGGTCCCTTAAGTTATTCATTTTATATAGGTGCTAAATTACTCATTTGCTCACATACTTGCTTGCTTTCTTTAATACTTATTAACTTACTGTTTACCTATTTTTCAACCTATCACTTTCGAAGGACATTACATGACCAAGCTGTTATTAAATAAGTATGTGAGGGGATAGGAAAAACTATGGCGAGATGAAAATGAAAAATGGGTTTTTTATATTTGACTTCCAAGACACGAAACAGTCGAATGTGATATTAATTGGATTTTTGCGGGCAAGCAAGACAACATCAATCATCTTTACAATGAATTGATGTTGGAGACGTGATCGATGCTGAGACCTGGTTTTGCAAAGAGCCGACTGGGAGCATTCACAGGGGACGGGAGAGTCGATATTTTGTACTATTGTGGCGAAAAAAGGACTATACGAAAGAAGTTATAAAGTCCGAAGAGCATGGTGAACCTCACACTCACCCCTCTGACATCGAATTCAATAGGAGAGCAGGAGACACTGGCAGATCATGAAAACCTATTGATGAGCTAAGCTCCTTCTACACCAAAAACTCAATAGACCACTTCATCAAGGATCCAAAAAAAATTGAAATCTTCCAAAAATGTAGAACTTACTTTGAAGCCATCTCCGAGGTTTGGTCCTGTTGTAGTGATTCTTTGGCAAATCGCAAACCTACAGCGCTTCCCATGTCCTCGATTCCAGCCCTTTTCAATTTGTTAATGCCTTGCGATTTGATTTCGTTTCTAAACATGTCGGGTTTTATAATTGAGCCCTCTATTGTGCGACTTGAATGGGTCTGAATAAGAGTTAAAGACCCTAGACCCTGTTGGCAGCTAGAATTGAAGGCGCCGTCACTCTTGCCTTAGGTCTTTTTCTTTCTTCTGGGTGCGCCATGCACTATGCTCCCATTAAAAATTGCGTGTGAATTTCTAGAAACACTAGGACTGCAGGAAAATTTTTGTGATCTAGTGGATATTCAACTCAGGCTTCTGGATCAACCGGACCAAGTTGTTACCATTCAGCTCATATTAAAGTTGTAAAAACACAAATGGCATCGAAATGTCCACCGATTGCAATAAGAAGAACTAGCTCTAATTCTGCCACTTGAGGGCAGTTGTTGCAGCTAAACTCCACCTCTAACATGTCCCTCTAGGAAAATCACCTACGCGACCCACTGCCCATCCACTCCTCCCTCTCTCTAAAACAAAAAAAAANAAAAAAAAACCGTCTCAGTACAACCCTCTCCACCTTCGAATGTAGGCCCTGACACAATCGTCAACTACTCTGAACCATCTCTAGCTTATCAACATAGCAGAATTTTGTGACGACAAAAGATAGGGAAGCTCTATTGTGAATGAAAATACGACACCATTGTCGCATGGCTACTGAATCCCTTCCTCTTCTTTTCGTGTCTAAGATGTCACGGCATGCTCTTGACTCTATTCGTGCCGAGCAGGGAGCACTGTTTACGGGCGTTTGGGGCTTTTTTTCAACTTTGCAGTCTTTATAACAAAGAAAAGGTTGCTGAGACACCCTGGGGGAACAGAAACTTCCACAACGTCAAAGATGATTTACTGCAAGGAATTTATGAATCATTAGACTTGTCTAACGATGAGTAATCACGTACAGAACCTCCGCCTACATAAGGCAATCCAGTGTGAATGTGGGCAAAAAGCGAGAGGGTGAGTCACGATCAATCGAATGACAAAATCTTGTCGAACAAACATTATTACACAACCAAGGATATAATGGGTAAATACAACCGTCCAGAATAAGCGAAAAGGGAAATGGCCAGAACTCAACAAGATGGACTATTTGAAAAATCTATATCAACTAACCAAAACCTAAATTAAATCAAACCAATCGAAAATCATTGAAAAGTGATTAGTAAAATACGAGGAAAACAATCCCATCAATAACACACTCTTTTAAGCGAAGTTCATTAATTACAGTTCCGCATGGTATTAGAAAACCGAACAATTAGAAAAAATCCCCAGCAGTGGGGCGGGTGGACGTACTGCTTTCATCAGTCGACACAGGCATGAGGTTATCAGTGATCGAAGACGCTACTGCAGGTTTCGGCTTATTTACTCCTAACTCGGAAACCTTGTCTGACGGAGTGCTGGGTCCCGATCGCAAGCCAGGAGTCAATCGCGAACTGCCAACTCTTGAAAATTATGGTAGGAGTTTTCGAAAACGAATGATCTTACGAAGAAGTTAAATTACCTGGTAGGTGTAAGCAGACGTAAGTGGTGAGCAGATGACGGCAAACGAATGCCAAGTTTGTTTGAAGCTAATCGACGAGCTGCTGGTGAAAGTGTAGCCATTGATAAAGCCGAGGAACGAGCTGAACCAAATCGTGGTGTTCTGCTGAAAGAAATAAGGTTATCAGCTTGTGATCACATCGCTGGCTCCATCAAGTTAATCTAATAAACGCTTACTGGGCCTTTTCGGCTGTTTCCATCGCAGCTCGTCGTTTGTCACGATATCGTTTAGCGATTGTGTCGGTAATTCCTTGAGCAACCTGCTCTCGAAACGGTATTTCTGGCATCTATAAACAAAATCACATGAGATCCCAAACAATACGGAATACCGAGGACAAAATACGGTATATACGACCAATTTGAGCATAATTATATTCTCCCTACACACTGACAGATTCACTCAGCTTCCAACCGAACCACAATTTCTTCTAGGATCATAAGACAGATTACCTTGAATGTTGGACCGCTTCCAGGAGCAGGTTGAATGTCGGAAGCATCCAAACGGAAAGGAGTTCCATCGATTTCTCCCCATGTCATCAAAGGCGAATCATCGATGCCTGAAAATTACAAAACATAAATTTTTCCCGGGAAATTAGTAGATAGTTGGAAATCGAGGAAGCTAAATCATTCAAATTAAACAAAAACGTACCAGGAGCAGGACTTGGTGTCGCTACCAGTCCTAGGGTTTTGCTATTCAGTCCTACTTCATGACCTTGTGCATCCACTTTTCCTACATTATTAGCCAGCTGCATCATACTGGCACGGGCCATTGATGCCTGAATAACGAAATAGGCATATTATCGAAGATTCTGATGGGTCCGTCTCTGAATGCTCGCCTTGGCCAGAAAATGGTATGGGGAACGTGATAAAATACTGGGTTCATTTTAAAAAAAANAAAAAAAATAGGAAAATTAGAAGGAAAAGGCTAAGATTCAGTCAGCCAGTCATTAATTCTAGCATGAAACAACTTTGTTTACAACGCAGGAGGATCTAGTGATGACCCTCGCTAATTAACGAGAATCTGGAAGGGTGCGCAAACAGCGACAAAGGAAGTCCTATGAACGGCAATATTACTAATCAAGAAAGAACAACAAACAAAGACAGTTATGAGATGAGAAATTTCGCAACTCAAACCTGTCTGAATTGAATTATCTCAAGATGCAGAAATTAACACACCTCTGAAGGCTTGTTTTTGATGTCTTCGGAAAATCGAGTGCCTGCCTTGTTGATTACCCTCTGATTTCTGCGGGCCTGTTCGATGCGCTCGGCAGCGGTTAAAGGAGCTCCCTCCAAATGGAACAACACTGAGTTACGAGCAGTGTAACTCCAGTTATCAACTTCCTTAGGCTTTTCTGAAAAAACCGTTACGGCTTTTGAAGAAATATATTCAGCAAAACTTCCATAAATTATATAAACTAGGTACCTCTGTCAAATTCAGGGTCATATTTCAATGCCAGCTGTAGATCAGCAGAAGCAGGTAGTTCGCCGTACGTGATCTGAACATGCAACATTTAACAAAAAGTAGGAAGCAAAATATTTTCAGTTACACAGTTTTTCCTACGATTCACAAGGAGCGGCTTTATATACAGGTATTCACTTCCAAGATCCGGAGTGGACGCAACTAGAGTCGATACAAACGTGAAATGCAATACAATACGCTTGAACAACACAAACCAAATAAAGTAGAAAAGGGTTATACACCTTCAAAGGGCCGCAGTGATGAATTCCTTTTTGGAGCTTAATTTTTTTTTCAGAGAAAACAAAAAAGTAAAATCAAAACGTTGGCACCAATATAAAGGAAGGGGAAACGAATGCTCGTAAAAGGATAAAGAGAAGCCCAACAAAAAGGAAAGGAAAGCAACAACAGACGGTTAATGGGGGTGCACATAAATAACGAGAGGTGTAAAAGCTAGAAAAGTATAATTGCACAGTTAACTTTAAAATGATTACGGGATGAGACCTGTTACGAACTCGAGCATTCAAAGAAATATGCTATTAAGGAGTGAGAAAGCAAAATTCAGACACTTAGGAAGTCTTTAGAGCAGTCCTAGACTGAATGACATAAATTTATCAAAAGAAATGAGTTTCGGTTACCATTTTTGCATTATGTTTTCTTTCTGCCTCTTCGATCCATCCCTTTTTTGCTCGTTCTCTGGCAAGTTCGACGGCTGCTAGCTCTTCGAATGAAGCATTATCCTCCGAGGTAAATTTGTTCATGTACTGGTCCACCGATAGTTCATCCGATTTGGCTTTTTCCTTCTTGGCACCCTCTTTCAAAGCCTTAAAACAAATGTTAATTCGCAGCTTCGATTTGGACATAAAAATACATTGCAAGTAGCAACGTTAAATAAGCAAAATTAAAAAGCAAGACCTCGTTGTCACCCTCACGATTTGCGTAAGGGAGCGGTGTGGACTGTAGTGAATCGGGTGGTCGACTCGGACCTGGGGTGTCTGGATCAAAATTTGCAGGAGATGTTGGAGCGCGTGCTCGATGTCCAGGAGATGTGGCGACAGTTGTCGCAGGGCTCGTCCTGAAAGAAGGTGAAGAAGGCATTTGTGTGTGTATATCCAGTAAAGAACAAAATGTACGATGGAATCGTACCTTCGATCCGTTCGGCGGCTTGTGTGATAGCGTATTTGCAGTTCACGCATTTTGGCTATATCATTACGTTTCATTGCATCGATATATTCTGACTGAGCCTGAGAAAAGTAAACAATATTCGACATCAAATAAGCAGTGGCCGCATACTTAGAAAAGGATAGCCTGTACAAAAAGCGAACCTTGAGTTTTGGAAGATCGGGAAAGTAATCTCTGACGATAATCTTTTCAAGTTTGGCTAGATACTGTTCTTCTGGGAGAACAGTCCGGACTTCCCGTTTCGTCTGTAGCCTCTTGGGTGACAGTTTCACTACCTACAAACAACATGTGTTGAAAATGATCCGATAACGCACTATATACTAAACCCGATCCTACATTATATCAATAAATTCGGCAACAGATATTTTTTATTCCGCCATTTCCTTTCATATTTTCAGCGAGGCCGCTCGATAATTTGAGCCAGATCCTTTAATTTCAGTATTCTGAACTCTTTGACGCTTCTAACTTTTGATGCATGCCTACACCATGAATACACTTTACAGCACCACTTTATTTTATGCCATGCCACCTATAACAACAAATGTCTACAAGAGTTCTGTCGTATCTTTTGCACTACTTACGGGTGAGCGCGGAGGCCTAATATCGTTCTGGATGACTGAGCAATTATCATTTGCTAGTGTTCCCTATAGTAGGAAATCAACCCTGCGATCGTGTTAGTACTGCGGATAGAACGATTGTATTCATCGTTACCTAGTAGCACGATAGGCGTGTACCACCGCTCTATTTTATGGTACGCAAGTCTGCATAATTACCGTGACGTACAACAAGCAAAGATATACACAAAGAGAGTCATGAGTCTTCTGTGGCCAGTCGAAAGGAAGACATTATTATAGGCCTCTGTATATTGATTGGAACCCAATTATCTCCAAGAAATCCTACAAAATGACGACATCACTGAAAGCAATTGATTTATGACATAAACCAGATGAAACAGTGGCGGGATAGTGTCCAGCGGTGCGCTACTATACGTATAAATAGGGCTCACATTTCGAACCGATAATTATCTAGACAACCGAACTTCCCAATCCTCAGAGGGTATCATGTTTCTGACGAAAGGCCTAGGATGCTCCCTTTCCGAAAAGGAAACCTTAGACCGAGAACTTTGTCCTTCATCCCCAAAACAAATAAGACATTAACCGAGTGCAGAGGAAACACCCTGAAAAATAAAAAGTTCTCATATGAGAAATCACAAGAGCCCATTAACAATCTATGATTAAATAATGCAGGAGAACATTCATGTTCATCATTGCGATTTGTTCCACGAAATGTCCTGCTCGTCTATATTGAAAAAGGAAATAAATAACTGAGACTGTCGTGCGGCTTCAGTGAGGTACATGTAAGTCTTAGTAAATATTAACTTTATGAAAGGCAGAATAAACTACCCCGTGCATTTTTATTTTCTTTCGGCCACTTTCGAGTAGCTCCTCTACCCACATGGCCATTTCAAAGAATGCTCAATTACCCTTACATAGATGAAATTATACATGGACAACATAAAAAAAATTGAATCCTACCTTTCCATGACTTGCCGACTTTGGCGCAGTGGCATATTTTGCTCGCCGTTCTTCATCATCAAACGAAGACATGGGATTGTAGTTAGAAACGGCGTTGATACCTGATATCAACTTCGCAGCATACTTTTTGTGTTAAGTTCATGCTGTTTGATAAGATTAGAGTATTAGTTGGAACTTTACGGCCACAGAATGAACACCAAAGAAAAAATAAATAAAAATGTTTACGGTTTTTCTTGAACAAACAAGAATAGGAATTCTCTGTGAAAGGATATTCGTAGAAATATCATGAAAGGATACGTCAAATACAGAATCACACACCGATATAAATGAGGCACAAAGCGCGATACCACTCACTATCAGCGAAAGCTGCAGGAGACAGCAAACCAGAGGAATATTATGCTTGCAATCGTTAGGTCATAAAACACTTCAGTATGGCTCCAATGGGTCAGAGTAATATATGAAGATTTTCATGAACCCGACTTGAATTAGATGACTATCATGTATTTACAGTACATATGAAGCGTGTCATTAAGGTTAGCTGGGTATAATAAATACGTTAAGATATGGCAATGGGATCTTAAAACGGGAACGTTGTGCAGCAAAGGATAAAGCGCTATGACAAGCAGGTTCGGAAGTGCCTCCAACTTTTTTTTAACTATAAAATGCCCCTCATAAATAAACAAAACAGTCCTCTGTAATTGGCGCGAGAGAATAAAACCACACTAAAAGCGAAGAATAGAACGTAAAGAGGAAGCCATATATGACTAACAACTTATCAACAATTCGAATTGAGCTCAAAGCTGAGTGATACAACAACATATGCATTCCTCTTACAACGCTAAAAGTGAGACGAATTGCAAATTGAATGCAAACAAGGCTTCATTTAAATCTGGCTAGTCCAGTAGGCAACTTGTGTGGCTGAACGTAGTTTGCAGGCAGCATACCCCATTGCAATGTGCGTTGAACAGTCCCAGTCATCCAGCCATCATCGACTTTCTCGCAGTTCACAATGATGTCACCTTCCAAAAACGATACCTAAACGAAAAGTCTCAACGTGGAACAAGAAGCACGTTCAGAGACCCACTCTAACACTATTCTATGGGTGTCGAGAGGAGACGCCTTATGCTTACACAATCAGTGGGGTGCACCCACTTTTCAATCATTGCCTACTAGCAAAAGGGCAGCGAATGAACAATGTCTACTGTCTTACTGTGTCCCAAGAGCAATGAAAATCCCAATAAAACTCCTTACCTCGTCCTTATCAGCAGCCGTGTAGTCATAGATTGCTTTCACAGCAAATCCAGCGTTTCCGCCTGGCGAAAGGGATTTAGCAGCGTTTTTCTCTGTAAAATCGAGACAGTACCGGGTTTCAGAACCTAAAAGCAATGACCACATTCAAAGATTGCTTGGCCTTACTTCTCGAAGTTTTCTACAGCTTCTGATCCACTCAGTCAATCATCTTAGCATCAGTAATTAGAAATCATCATACAGAATAAGATTAACTCGAACGTTCCCTAGGCCCCACGCCATCCCGCCTTCACTTAATTTCTATCCCACTTCATACCAAAAAAAACGAAAGTTTATCCGACAGCTGGCCTGCCTTGATCTCATTCCCAGTGGACCGAGCCCACACTGATTACGAACTCTGAAGCAAGGTCCAGGAGGGAATAAAAAGCGATGTTCCCCAAGCTGGTCAGCGTGGTTCAAGTGACAGAGCCGGCATTCCAATCGAATCACCAGTGGCAAATACATGTTATTGATTTGACGATTGCTGTAAATGTAATGAGGATGGGCGCCATCGCCGCCATAAAGCATTCCCTTGTTAGAATACGAACTGATATGGTTATATCGATATGCTGATTGAACGATGACACTAAGAATAAGCATTCTACCAGCTCTCATAGCTTATTTTCAAACTCCCAAGATCACTCTTTTAGGCACAATGTTACTCAACTCTTGGGGGCACATCGTCACAAAGACATCAAAATGAATGCACAGGCCACCTTCAAATCTACGACACATCTGCAGCTCATGGCAATCGAACATGGTAAATGGGGTAGCATTCTCTATTGCACGGCAATAACAAACATGTGTGCGATTTGCAGGAAATCTCCTTTTCTCTGTCCTCATTGTTATGATGTTATACATCGCTATGCCTCGTGATCATGCTTGTCCAGCAACTGCTAGACCAACTTGAGTATAAATGATTTAAACTAAATATATTTAATTTACAACGAGGTGGGTCTCTATAGCCAAATTTCGAAGCGACTATCGGCCAATACGTGTGGAATCCACCACCAAACTCCTTGCTAAGTCCAAAGCATCAAAAAAATTGAGGAGATCATTGATCAAGTCGAACTTGCTAGCAAAAACAATGTGATCACATGTACCTAACATTTTCTATGTTTACGGATACATCAAGTGGTTTCGAATTAAACAGCTGACTTGTTAAAACGAATTATCTAAGCCGCATTCGCAATAGCGAAACTAATCAAAGAAAAGCGATCTATCAGGCATGTTACAGACTTACTGCTTGTTTCGTTGGCATTCGATTGAGCAGCAGTACCCCAACTTCCGTTCAAAGGATCATAATCAGCAATACTGCCAACGACACGTTGTTGAGGTTGTGCTGAAACTTAGTCTTGCTGCAGCAACTCAAAACGAAACACAAATACAACACTATCTAGACAAAAGCATAAAGGAATGAAGCTTCGGAGAACTACCACTACACGGTCATGTTCTTGAAATCTGACAGTAAACGCTCACTAAGAAAAGACACACAGTTCAGAGATAATAAACGGATATGTTCACAAAATTCACATGCCTGCAAAAGAGTTATCGCTCGAGTAAACTAATGTCGATTGATGCCCATGCGGTTGAGTAGTGTTATGGCTTCCGAACTCGGGAATGGACACGCCATTCTCTGGTAAGGGCGAGCACACTACTCTGCCAAGCCCTGTAATGACAACCACATGCAACTAATCTAAACTACTAGCTATATTATTGATTACAAAGGCATGAGCATAACTCGCATCTACTAGTATTCTAGTCAAGAAAGTATAGAAACTGAGAAGAGCTACATTGAGCATTGTGAAAGTTCAAAGCAATCACTGCTAGTGAGATTCAGCTGCGATCACTAAGCATTCGTTAGTAGCACGATGTGCAGTGCTCTAGCATGAAAGGTAGCAAGCTTCGGAAAGTGACATGGCCGCTGGAAGACCATGGAAGAGCATATGAAGTGCTCGCTTATGAAAAGAAGTGCACCTTTCTATGCTAGTGGAAGGAATTAAAATTAAGCCTAACTATATTAGTGAACGAATCAGTTGTGTAAGCAACTAGAAAGATGGTGGCTAAAGTTTTTCATACAGTTTCTTATCGTTCTTTGCCAACAACGTGATGGCATCTGATACTTCAATTTGGCAGAGTGATAATAGCAATGAGTGCCATAAAGACTTCTGAGAGCAATAATGGCAACGCACAGACGAAAAACAATAAATAAAACCGGGCTACTTTTCAAGCAATTTGGCTAAACACTAAAAGCGCAAACCACTAAAAATCTCAGTGGTTCTGGCAAGTATTTATTCGTCGAATCAACGAACTCCTCAAAGTCAGAATTCAGTGGGAAGGCTTTAATTGGATTCACACTATCGACGCCGACGGTGCCGCCGGTAGTATGAACTAAATCATTCATGTTCCAAGCTAGAATTCCATTTACTTAATAACTATTCATTATTATTTGATTTATTTAATTTAATCACAGTGGTAATCAGAAAACAAATATCTTACGTCGATGCTCCAGATGAATGCTGAGTAGTAGCTTGAGAGCTTCAGCTACATTCTCCAAATTCGAAACAACTGATTATCAACGGTTATTACTGTAGACTACAAAAGGGTAAATTTTCTTTGATACGCTAGTGCAAGGACTAAACTGCTCAAAGCTTCGCAGATGTCTGGTTTCGAGAGCGATTTTGCACCTTGAGAATTTTCGCATAACCATCGAACAGTTACCCTGTACTAGGTATTCGAGTACACCCGTAATTCGTATGAAACACTGCTCTCTCGCCCAAATTGTCAAGTTGACTCCAAGTGTTTCAGAGTGTCAAATGCCAACCTATGTGTCATGTGCAACATTTAACACAATAGAACTCTTTATGGGCGCGCAACATGACAATTTGAGCAGTGAGTGAAATGAGCAAATGCAAACTGGGCTCACCATAAAATGACAGACGCCAAAACAGCATCCACTACTGAGAACATTGACTAGAATGCTATAAAGCGAAAACTTAAGCCATGGAGACCAACTACAAGATCAAGTGCATCATCAGTAAGTTCTAAAGCCTATTATAACCATGAAGCTGCCAATAAAGCGGGTATTGCAATCAATAGCTATGTGACATTTGTTGCATAAACTTCATTTTGCCGATGCTTTGGCTCTTGCAGACTTAGCTCCTTTCGTTGGAGCTGCTGACACTTTTGCATCTACTGCCTGTTTTTCTTCTACTGGTTCTTTTTCTTTCTCGGGTTTTTCCTCTTTTGGCTCTTTTGGTTTGCCTGAACAGAGGAAAATGCTTAAAAGAGCCTGTGTTCTTGTGAGTGTTGTTCTTATTCCAGTGTTTCATATGTGACTTATTCAAGTAAAATGCAACGACGCAACACCCTCCTTTACAATGGAAAATTGATAATAAACAGAATTTCAAGAAAGTGTTCTGTTTTATGATTGCTTCCTCTGCTACAATGAAAATTCATAGAAATAGAAACCTACCAGAAGCTTCAGCAGGCACAAAAGTTGGGCGGACCTCTTCCATCTTTTTCCTTTTGTCTAATTCCCCAGTATAAGCGATTTGCGACTGCGCCTGCAAGTACTTAGCTATGGTTATAACGGCCTTTTACAACTTTTCTATGACTAAAAAATTATTCTGCTTCATTGGCACCTTTCAGCTGAGGCAGTGCAACATGAATGCGAGCTAGCGTCTTAGCTTTACTATGACAAGTGACTTTGTAGCCTTTCAAATAATAGCCTTAATGAAAGCAGGTGTTTTTCAAATTTCGTTGCACGAAGTGTAACGAAAAACAAAAAAACGACCTATCAACACTACCCTTCACCGTTGGTTAAGGTCAACTACTGACATGCAAGTAAGAGAACCTGTTCACCCGTGAGTGTTTTGTTCAGATTTCACACCGATAACGAACATTACCACTGGGATTCACACTGTTGCTCATAAAAGTACCGAAAACGGCGTCAAAACATTTGCTTCACTATCTTGATAGACATAACAGAAATATTCAGCACACTTCACTTTACCTGCATATTTTTTCTATGCCGTTCCATTTCAGGATCGTCCGCCACTTCAATTTTGGTTCCTTTAGTCTTCTCATAAGCAGCGTGATATTGCACCTGAAAACAGACGACGTGGTACTTGTAGTGACATATGGAAGGAGAGGGCAGGCAAAGCTGATCGCTAGAGTTTCTTAGGTTGAATTATAGCAATATGGTTCCCGACTTCGATGATTGGAATCACATTCCCACTTTAAAAAGGAAAACGAATTTGCGTTCGGCAAATGATGTCTGGTGAAAATACTGGTGGAAGGAAATTTCTGGGTTGAGTGTGCAAATATAGCACTGGTCTCATTTTCTATGAAAATGGGCTATTTACAGTATAGACTGAACCCAACAGTGTATTCTCGAGCTTTGAAGAAAGTATCCATTTATTATATTTTATAGCGATTCTCATATTGGTGGTGTTACACGTCGAAAGTTCGGCTGGTGGGAGACTTCGTATAATCCCAGAATTTGAAACTTGCTCGCTGATTCGTTCGAATCTTCGACGCTGCTGTAACAATCGCGCTGTAAGACTGCAGACCTTGATGATTTCCTAGGAAAACCTGGACGATAACACAAAATCGCCCAGCGCAGAGCCATTATTGCGAACCAATACACACTTTCGTCCATCGGCGTTAGTGAGCAATAGCTTGACGTTAATTTATAGAGGATAGGACGAGTGTTGCGATACAAACCTACCTGACTTTGATTCTTGGTATTTTCTGCCACACGTCTCATTTCAGGTGTATCCATTACGACAGAGGCTACAGTCTTGGGGTAATGCCTTCAAAAGTTTCAGCTAGTAAAATTGCTCGAAGGGAACAAAATAGCCGCGATACTTACGGTTCACAGTAAGGCATTTTATCGTAGCCTTTGTAATTCTTCATATTTAATGTCATACCACACACAGTGCATTTGAAACACCCTTTATGCCAAACCTAAAAAGAAAATAACTCGAATATCAGCGAGTATGGGAATGGGCAAACAGAGCTCACCTTGTCTAAACATTTGAGTTCTTCTATGGGATACACCGTTTTCCCGCATTCTTCTCGTGCACACTTCTTCGCGCTCATGGCTATCTGCGACAGAAAAGGTTCAACTCAAAAAAAACGGCAAAATGAACGCGGTACAGGGTAAAGAGCACGATTTCCAACTACTCGAATGAACCGCAAAAGTCAAAGTGAATCTGTGAATACGTGACAATTCAACTTTATTGTGAGAATGCTGTAGAGATCGATAAAATCCGAAATCATAAGGGAGACAAAGACGTTATGGTAAAAATTTTCATAACCACACTTTTTATAATCTAATCAAAACACATTGCAAGTTGATCTAATTCCCAATAAAAAGATTTCCGACGTCCTATGCTCGAACTTCTCGAGTTAAAATTCCCATTCGAAGAAGCTGACGTTCTGCATCATGAGCACAAACTTAGTATGACTGAAGTGACTGACTTCAAAACAGCTTCGGAGTTCAATAACTGGATAAGCCGACCGAAAAACCGAGGCCGGGGAGGACATAAATTAAAGCAATGCGAAAACTTCTAGGAAGCAGATTNATTCAACTTTATTGTGAGAATGCTGTAGAGATCGATAAAATCCGAAATCATAAGGGAGACAAAGACGTTATGGTAAAAACTTTCATAACCACACTTTTTATAATCTAATCAAGACACATTGCAAGTTGATCTAATTCCCAATAAAAAGATTTCCGACGACATATGCTCGAACTTCTTGAGTTAGAACTTCGATTCGAAAGAGCATCATGAGCACAAACTTAGTATGACTGAAGTGACTGACTTCAAAACAGCTTGGGCGTTCAATAACTGGATGAGCCGACCGAAAAACCGGGGCCGGGGAGGACATAAATTAAAGCAATGCGAAAACTTCTAGGAAGCAGATTGGCTCATGAAGAATACCAAAACTGCTAATGGGCTACATTGTTATGAAGTTGAAAAATTTCCCTTTTAATAAGGAAAAAAGCACAAAATAAGTCCGTAAGATGCACTGACGGATAATAAACAGAATAGTACCGCATTTTTGTCGGGATTATTGATAAAACGGTCGTTTTATGAAGCAACAAGTAACCAAAATCGAAAGGTGGGCGGCTGAGCGCCTCCACCTTCGAAACGACAGCACCATTTCGCAAACACAAGGCACGAAGCAAGCGGAACAGTGACTCATCCACTGAAACAACTTTGTCGAGAGTCCAACGCCGAAAAAAGCTCTATCAAGGCTGTACGAAAGCAATGTTTTGTTCATATTGTCAAGGAATTTCGTCAGTTTCATGTAAATAACGTTCAAAGTGACGCTGAGCACTGTAAAACTAAAGTGCAACATTAGAATGAACAAGTAAACATGAGGAAAGAGCCAATTTTCAGAACAATTAAGATGACTTATACTGTAATGGAACAAAACAATGCACATAAATCATCTGAAGAAAGCAACAGACTGTTTTGAGAAGTCGTAAACAATGTAAACATTTTCTGAAATGAATTCATTCATTCACGTTGTCCTGTCCCAGCGCCTAGAACGTTCTTGCTTTGATTACATTTGGTGAAATATCGATCGATATGTTGATAGTTCCGAGGAGATATGGGAGCAAAGGGAACAATACCGATGGCGTTTACGAGATTTTCAGCCGATGCTGGGATTATCACACACCACGAAGGCGTGCCGGCCGCAGCTGACAGGCGGCGACGACATGTGGCCAACTGCCGCCCACCGCCCCCACTCAAAAGCTTCGCGAAAAACGTGAAATCTGTTAAACCAATGAAATGAGTAAGTGTTTTGAAAAATTTTGAAACAAAATCAGGTGCAACAATCGCATGAACGTCATCATAACGCATTAAATAACTCGCCTGCAGAAAGCATGCCAAGGACGAATTTTTGGCGTCGTTTACACTGTTTAAGTGCATTTAAATGCGTACGGCACGCTGTACTTTACGATATAACGATTTGAATATACGGTAGAAAGGTCAACAGTATTAACATCCTGTAAAACTTTAAGAGCAGGGCTTATCACCGGAAAGTACAATGGCATTATCCTCAAAAGAAGATAATAAGTGTGGTGTTCGGTGCAAAAGATATGATGAGTTCGTGAAGAATTGTGGTGAACCATACTTTTTTAAGCCTTTTTCCCAAGCGTAAATCATAGCGTTTTCAGGTTCAGCTTAAGTACTCTATAATTTGGTGCAAGATAAAATAGAAGAAATGGAAGTATAAAGAATTAGAAGCAACATGCTCAGGGTTAAAGTTTGGTGCGCCTCTAAATCCCTACCGTAATCCCACCTCTAGTTCATGTCGACATCCGTAAAATATGTCTATTAGTCGCATAAAAGTAATAGTACGACGGAATTTTGTAATTACCGGGTATTTTGTAATTACTATAAGAATATGAAACCGTGGTGGATCCTCTTCAGAGCGGCCACAACTTTGCTTTCGGTAGAAGAACGATCAAGAAATTGGAACAACAATCATCTTGTGAGGATTCTCTTCTGTTTTGGCTTTGATCAATCCTTAGCGGGATGCGCCATGCCTTCAATTTTTGTCCTAAATCGCTATGGCTACGAAATCCATACGTGGACCAATTAAGGGATCCCTTTTGATTCGCAAGCCACTTCTTGCTTTGTTTTACCAGACAGACTTGTAACGGAAAATCGAATCCGGGAATTTCTGAGGCCGGTTATGATTGTGAACCTCAAGTCTTCATCGCGGAACAATGGGTGCTTAATGTCGTCACAGGCTTCTACACTACCTACGTTCATGTTTATGTAGTAGCGAGTCCAAGCAGAGGAGTTTTCCTACTCCAAAGCGTTCCCTACATTCTATCCTCTACCGTGAAGTAGAGTGAGAAAAACGACACTCGACCGAGTGACTGGGTAACGCGCGTCGACGTGAACAGAATGAAAACGAGCTTTTCTGCAAACAACGACAGAAATTTTTCACTGACTGTTGCTCTTTAGCTTGAATGTACCTTATCTCCTTACGAAGACCTATTAGGAAACGAAATTCGGGCTGCGATGATGGCTTGAAACAATCTCCCTACTTGAAAATACGAACCTTCATCACTGTATAAATCCTCTTACAAAAATGTGCTTTCGGGGAAGCATGGCAATCAGTAAGCAAGCCGCTTAGGGTTGCTCCAACGTGCATGGACGTACGGGCATCAAACGATGGGATGCCCTGAAACGGTTTGTTTGCTCAGTATGCTGGTCTTGCTGATAGCGCTGACTTCCAACCCGGTTGATATTCAGAGTATATTATTGTTAG